TTTCAACCAATTTTACATCGTACAAGTTTTTAATACGGTTTTGGACAATTTTTCAGAACTTGTACGTTTACTCTCTTTGTCTCCTGAATGATGCACAGCCATGCAGAAGACTGGACTGTAAGGCATTGTTGGTTGATCAATAATTTTTTAGTGGGTGCGGTGTGGAATCAGAACTTCAAAGCTGGAGGAGGTAAACCACAGTTCTCACATGACTTCCATGTATATTCCACTCTCCAACCAGAAGAAGCACTGGATAGAGATCAGCATTAGCGTTCCTGGCTGTGCATCTCAACTTCTCTCAATGTCATGAGGACAATTGCTTTGCTAATGCATGCAGGCAGCCAGCCTGGAGCAGATGAGGGTTCTAGGAATACTCCTACCATAGTGTGTAACTCCATGCAGCTCTCATCCTTTACACTAAATGCCATCAACTAAAATGAAGGGATTAAAAATGCATTGTCTAAACTTGACAAAGGTACAAATTGACTGATTTAAATGTTGCCAACGTTAAGTCAGACCTCATGCTGGCAGGAAAGGCCAGGCCTGAGAAATTGCTAGGCTGGACTCATGCTCATTCGAGGTGCATTTTGAAAACATCCCCACCTGAGGCCTGCAAAGGAATGTCAATCCATCTAAAATGTGCAGAAGACATATACACAAAAAAATGAAAGGACAGGTTGTGAAGGGATCAATATCTATGCTGCAAAAATTGAAACAGCTAAAGCTATTCTTACATAAAGTGAAGTGAAAGACATTGGGATTCTTAACTATAAAGTGATGAGAGAAATTGAAGAACAGAAATTAGAACTGCTTTTATCATATGAATCAAGCATGGCTGACACACTGGTGTAAGAAATGCTGATGCAAAGATTTCCTCTACTTAGTATTTCTAGGGTAATCAGAAATACCTTCTGAAATAACATATTTCCTGGCTCATTGTGAATTTCGGCCAGAGGAAATCATAGTTCGTGTTGTCACAACATGTATTATGAGGGGACGCTTTTACTTCACCATCGTAGTTAAACGTAGAATTAGGAGGAATGCCTTGAAAATAAAATTGTGAATGTTTAGATTAAATTGTCTTCTTTCAAGTATTGAGTTTGCAAGTTGCCACTGAAAATGACATGGTCAAATTTCTGTTGTCACTTGAGAAGCTTCAAACTAGCAGAAGTCTGAAAGAAATGAAAGTCATCATTGGATGTGCTTTTGTTTTAGAGAGACAACTGGCAGTGAGTTTGACCTGAGGGTCACCAGCCCTCAGACAAGGGGTAAAGTTGAAAAGGTGGGGTTCAGTTGGTACATGAGCTGAACTCTCATTGTTGACATCACAAAGCAGCTGATGAGCTAACTGAGCTAACCCCCAAATGTCCTCTCATTTAGCAGCTGAAGTGTGTGGAAGAGCTGTGCAGGCTAATGTCTCTTTGCCGAGGAGGTAGATTATCCTGCCTGCAGACTTCAGTCAAAAGAGAATGGTCAACCAAACCTCTAACCTGATCCCACTCAAAAACCCAGCTGAAAGAAGAGATTTTCATCCTCTCTTTTTGGGGCTGTGTTAAACCTAAGGGGTGAAAGAACTGTGATGTTTCTGAAACAACACATCACACGGCCACTCAATGTAATTTACTGCACTGATTATTAAACCATGCCACATGGAAAGTAGAATACATGAAACACAATTCTAAATTCTATGCTTCATCTCACGAGACAGCAAAGCTTTCTGCATTAAATAAATAGTAAAACAATTTCTAACCATAAAATATCCCCAATCCTAAAACAGGTTCTGTTGATAATGGAAGATGAAGGCCGATGAGGTGAACATTATTTGTCTTTGAATCTGTCAGTAGGCAATTTGTTACCAAGAAATCGAACAAGATTTCACCTCATAAAGCTTTGTGTTTCAAATGACTTTTAGGGAGGCGATGGCCTAGTGGTATTATTTGCTGGACTATTAATCCAGAGACCGAGATAATGTTCTGAGGAAATGAGTTCAAATCCCGCAATGGCAGATGGTGGAATTTGAATTCAATAAATTTCTGGAATTATGAGTCTAATGATGATTGTGAATCCATTGCCGATCGCCCTTTAGGGAGGGAAACTGCCAACCTTACCTGGTCTGGCCTACATGTGACTCCAGATGCACAGCAATGTGGTTTAATGAGCCTGAAGAATTGTTGTAAGATGAGCCCAAAAATCTTCAGCTGCTTCATCATAAGGCCAGAAGTGGAGTTTCGATGATGCTTGCCTCATGTTACATAGAAACATTAAAAAAAAAGCAATAGGAGTAGGCCATTTGGCCTTTTGAGCCTGCTCCAACATTCAATATGATCATGGTTGAGAATCCAATTCATTTCTCTGTTCCCATTTTCTCCTATACCCTTGGATCCCATTAGCTGTAAGAACTATATCTAACTCATTTTTGAAAACATTCACGCACCATTCTGACTTGGAACCACATTGCTGTTCCTTAACTGTTGTTGTATCAAATTCCTGGAACTCCCTACTATTAGCACTCAGATGTAATAATAGCAGGACTGCAGAGGTCCAAGAAGCAGCAATAAATCGTAGCATTATAGAATCCCTACAGTGCGGAAGCAGGCCATTCAGCCCATTGAGTCCACACTAACCCTCCAAAAACCATCCCACCCAGACCCACCCCATACCTTATCTCTGCATTTCCCACCCTAGACACCATAGGCAATTTAGCACAGCCAATCCACCTAACCTGCACATCTTTGGAGCATCCGGAGGAAACCCACGCAGACATGGGGAGAATGTGCAAACTCCACACAGACAGCCACCGAATCAAACCCGGGTCCCGGGCGCCATGAGGTAGCAGTGCTAACCACTGAGCCGCCATGCCGCCCTTGTATGACTTGTTCCTAACTCAGTTCTTCATGCATGAGCCTACTTAGTAATGTTCCCCATTGTGTTTCTGACTGTTGACATTCTTTTGACCTAAATTCAGATTCTCCATAAAGGAAAAAAAAGCTATGAAACAAAATATTGACAGAATTATTTATGGACTTGTGCTGAAAAACATTTCAACATTCAAAAATATCAAACTTTGATAATAACTAGGTTTAGATTTATTTCCACACTTACAAAGATTCTGGAATATATATTTGCTTATATGCTGAACTATGAACTTCTTACTTGCCAGAGATATCTTAAATATATATATATCACCTTCACTTTCTTATAGCCCCTCAGGGTTGAGAATGACTGGCTTCCTCTCCTGTTCGATACTTTGTGAGTTGTCTGCTAAGTACAATGTGTGATCTACAGACTCTGCCACACGTGGAGCAGGTGATGCTGGGTAAGTGAATGCTGTCATTTCTACGGATGATCTTTCCTGTACAGTGTATGTACAACAGCTAGGCTAAACCTTAAGGTTAGCAAACTAATTTAGTCTGTGATTAATAAGTAAATTACAGATGTACAGTTTCAACAATATGCCATTTCAAAAACAAATTCAGCAATGAAAAGGTAACCAAAGTTCGCCTCAATAATTTTTGTTTTCAACCATCGTTGGTGCATGTTTTAGAAGCAGGAATATTTTACTGGGTTGAAAATTATTCAAGTTATTCATTTCGTTCAAATGATTTGCTGTTCCACAGGATGAAGTATAAAATTGAGCATTATGCTAATTCACTTCATTTCTCAAATGGCGTGGAATCATTAACAACCAATAATTCACATTTACATAAGTTGAGTGGTTCAGAGTGTCAAAAGCAACACAATGCTTTCACTTCTGATTCAAATTCAACCTCAAAGATGTGATGAACATTCTGATGGGTTTGGAGGGTAATTAGTGACAGAACTTTGGGCAATCTCAATTGGTTGCCCAATAACATGTAAATCTATTGGAATGCTTTGGCAAAGATTGGGCAACATGTCAAACCAAGCTATTCATCCATCATTCCAGAGTTGTTGAGTGTTCTGCTCTCTCTGTAATAGTGACCTCCAAGTAAATCATCATCCAGGTACATTCACATTCTTGCTGATGAATATAACTTCCACTTGACAAATAATTCCTGATGGAATAGTTTCAACACAGAGGACAGGATTTCATGGCTCCCTGTCTAGCGAGTTTGAAGGCACAGATTTCATAAAACGCAACATGTAGATTGCTCTGTCTCTCATTTTAAGAGGGTCAGTGGAGGTATCAGGTATCTTTCTATGGGGGTCCCCTGTGCTCATGACACCCTCCCACAAGGGTTCTGCCTCTCAGTCCTCTTACTGAGAGCTGTCAGCGTGGCCCTGCCAATACCCTTGACTTGCTTGAGGTCTGGCTTGGCTTGAGGTCTGTTCAAGGAAGCCATCTTTAGACTGTAAAAAAAATCAGAAAGTCTATCTTCAAAGAATTCAACCATGATTCTATCTTGAATAAGTTCATCCATCAAACTGTGGCAGCCACATGAACTGATCAATCTACATAAATCATTGATAAAGGAGTCTGTTGATTCCCCTGCTTGCTGGGACCACTGTTTGAAGTGGGCATATTTAAAAACAGGGTTCTTCTTTTGATTGAAAGAAACATTGAATGCTATTGGATCTGACTAAAAATCTTCAAATGTTTCATTACCACATTGCTGGATAAGGATGTTGCCGGCCATTAGGTCCATTGTGCACAAGTAAGTACTGACCTGGGAGCTGTTGCTGTTTCAAACGGAGACCTGAGACATTCTGTACCTGTCGAAGAGCATTTTCCATAAGTCTCATTTATCTCCCTGCACTGGTTCGTAATACGGATGTGATGTCACTTTCAAGTAGACTTCATTTTGGGTAAGTCTTCAACTATTTTACCTCACTTCAAATCGCTGGATGTGGGAAGTTTGCCTGGGACTTCTTTTCTTGTTGGCTCCTCAACCTTGTTTTGGGGTATTCAGGTTCCTCTAACAATGACACCACCCACCTTAGACTGATGTCATCATGGTTGCCACCACGTTCTACTATTGGTTCTTCAGATCTTCATACAAATTTACGCTGGACCTTCTATGTTACTTTTAAACAATGTTTATTAACAGACTATACATGATGGTAAAATTACAGAAAAACATGCTCTGTGCTGCACAAATTCTAAGAGTATTAACACCTAACTACTGAGGCCAGAATAACATCAGGTTTATCTCAGATGTTCATCTTCATGTCATTGAACTGTAATTCTACAAGCATTGGTTCATGTGAGCCACATTATAATCTGCACTTCTTATAGTACATATCCTGTGAAACGTGTTAAACAATGAGAATGTGCAATCAGTATTTTAATATTCTTTGTCATGTAAAATGAAATTATAAATACAGAATTTTCATATTAATTCAAAATTTTAATTTTCAAATATCAGATGTGGGGACAAGGTTTGCAAGGCTGCAGTTTCACTGAGGGTGCACCATCCTGGACCATTCACTCTCCTTCGTTGCCATCCAATTTGTTTCAATGCCCATCCATCACTCTATGGCTTTCTTCATTACCTTTCATTTCTTCTTTTTGCTGCCATCAATGTACCCCTTTCCACTGCAAGATGCTGCAACCAAACACGATCCCTCTCCTATCTTACTATAACTGTTAATTGTCTTCTCTAAATGCTGCTGTCAATCCAGACATTGTTTCCTCTGTTTAATGTAAGTTTACCTCCACCTTGAGTTCCTGTCTAGAACTAACACAATGGAGTTGAGACTGCAACCAGCTCAGTCCTGATCTTACTGAATAGCAGAGGAGGCTTGAAGAGCGAACTGCCCACTCCTGCGCCTAAATCCTGTGTTTGTTTTCCCTGCCAATAACCTTTGCAGTAGTGTTCGGGGAGACTGGAAACTATGTTGGCACAATAGCAACTGCAGTTGGATAGGGGCAGCACTGAGGAGCGAAGGATCTGTGTTGTTCTAGTCATTTGCAATTATTGACTGGGCCCCTAAACTACTATTCCTCTTCAAGTACCTCCTGAGTATGCCATTAACCTTTTCCGAATACAAGAAATTGAGAAGTAGGAGTAGTCAGACCATTTGGTTCGTTGAGTCTGCCCTCCGCATTTATTGAGATCATTTACGTCAAGTTCGCCAATCATACTATCTCATGTTCTCTCCTAGATTCCTTTCATTCCCAAAAACTGACCAAACTGTCTACAATACATGCTCAATAACTGAGCATCCTTAACTCTCTAAGATGGAGAATTCTAAAGAAGCATAGCCTTTTAAATGGAAAGGTTTTTTCTCATCTCAGTCCTAAATGGGTGATCCCTTCTTCTTGTGGTAAAAGGTGCTAAGTATGACTGCGTCATATGCCTGTGAGAGAGTATATATCATCCCAGGAAGTGATGCAATGCCACACAATCTTGCTCTTTTTCAGCCTTGTGGCTGGATAAAGGCACAGTGAGATGCTTCTTAAATAAAGGAATGGCCCAGATATTCTATGGCCACAGAGTCCTTGGAGCAGCGTTGACTAGAGTTGCATGTCAGTACAATGCAGAGTGCCCAACACTCTATTGGAATTGCTTGGAAAATTCAATTTCATGATACGTAATTCCCGCGCGTCTGGAACCCTCTGAAAAAGTCCATTAAAGTCAGAGATTTCAGAGGGTATTGACTCATTTAAGCTAACAATTACCCAGGAGACATCAGAGGGTTACTAACCTACTCTAACTTGCGGGTAACAATTGAAATGACCCAGCCTCCCTCACCACTGAATCTCCACCTACAGTACCACCCCTCCAACTGACATGCTGTGACCCCGATCCCCCCAACTCAACCCAGTCCAAAGTGGCCCCTGTTGCAGTCCAACAATGACTCAGAGAATCAGAGAACTGTTATTCTGCAGAAGAAGGCTGTTTGGCTTATCATGTCAGGGCCAGCTCTCTGAGCATTTTGACGTAATGCGAAACTCCTGCCTTTTCCCATCATTAAGCTCTTCTGCTCTCTCTCCAATGCATTCACAACCTTTATACCAAAAGTGTGGCACCTAGAACTGTACAAATACTCTAGTTGAAGTATAACAAATGTCATATACAGCTTAACCTCCCTGCTCCTGTACTCTATGCCCCTATTAATGAAGCATATAATACAGTATGCTTTATTAACTGCTCTTTCTACCTGTCCTGCCACCTTTCATGACTTAAGTATAAATACACTCAGGTCTTTTTGTTCCTGTGCACCGTTAGAATAGTACTCCTTTATCTCATATTGTCTCTCCACGTTCTTTGTCCCAAAGTGTATGACCTCAAACCTTTCTACATTGAATTTCATGTGCCACCTGTCCACCCACTATACCAGCTTATCAATGTCTTTTTGAAGTTCTACACTATCCCCCTCACAGTTAACAATTCCTCCAAATTTTGTGCATCCACATACTTTGAAACTGGTGGCTTCATGGCAAGAAATGGATCATTTATCTATGTCAGGGAAAGCAAGGGTCCCAATACCAACCCCTGTGGAATCTTCACTACAAACATTACTCCAGCCTGAAACCAACTCATTAACCATGACTCAATATTTTATCCTTCAGCCAATTGTCCATCCACATTACCACTGTCTATTCAATTCCAAGACCTATCACATTCCTCAAAAGCCTGTTGCGTGACTGTCTCAAATGCCATTTGGAAGCCTGCGCACACCATATCAACAGCCTTGCCCTCGTCAGCCCTCCCAGTTACCTTTTCTAAAATGTCCAGCAACTTCGTGAGAAATGATTTTCCCTTAATCCATGCTGAATTTTCTGAAGTAACTCACATTTTAACATGTGAACATCAGTTCTAACCCAAATAATTGTTCCTGGAAGTTTGTCCACCACTGAAGTTAAAATCACTGGTCTGAAATTTCTGGACTTGTGTCCAGCTTTTTTTGAACGAGAGCGTAATATTTGTAGTTCTCAAATCTTCGGGCCAGGCCTTACCCAACCTAAGAAGAAATAATAACACAACAAAAATACAGACAGATTAGAAATGAGGGGCAAACTGAGAAAAAGATAGAAATTAAAAAAGATATATGGATCTGTAAAAACCGAAAGAACTGCGGATGTTGTAAATCAGCAACTAAAACAGAAGTTGCTGGAAAAACTCAGCAGGTCTGGCAGCATCTGTGAAGAGAAAATCAGAGTTAACGTTTCGGATCCGATGACCCTTCCTGTGTTAGGATTCTATGAAGAATTGGTGACGGGAGGTTGTGGCCATTGTACTTGGCAATACCAGTAGCACTGATGTTGATAGGCATGTGGTTGATTTAACGAGGTTTGATTTTGTGGTTCAGCAAAAGCTTTGTCCAGAGAGAGGGAGCGCGAGACAGAGAGAGAGAGTGAGTGAGACAGCGAGCGAGAGAGCATCTTTTCTTTTTTACCTGCAATGTAGGGGTGTTTAATAGCTGTCTCAAGCTTTATCCACAGGTGTCACTGTACATTAAGAAGTTGTTTAGGTACACTATGTAATTAGCTAAGCTGGCCACCATCAGATTTATCAGCTTTTGAAATATGGTTAGTTCATTAGCACTGGTATCACCCGAATTGAATTATGAAGGTGGAGATTTCCTTTGCACAGGCAGTCAAGGGCATCAGCCAGTATTCGGTGAGTAAAACTCTATTTGTAATTTGGATGCTTTTACATACCCTATCTATGTAATTTTCCAGCTGGGTTACTGAGCAAACGTTTGCTTAGGTCATTATATTAACATTTCAATAGTCAATGCACAGCCTTGTGGAGCCAACTGGCTTGGTCATCAGCACAAATTCCAGCTACCATTACTGGGCTTTATCAGGTGCTCCAGGATATGACTAAACTCCTCCCAAATCAGGGTCAGCTGGACCTAGCTAATCGGGATGTTGCTTTACATACTATCACATCTATGTCATGAAGAGCTAGGGTGGTGCAGCTGGCTTGTCTCTGCATGAGCCCTTGAGTGCAATGAGCAGCCTTGTTAAGGTCTGCTATCTGTTCTGCACCGAGGTGGGTGAACGAGAATTTGAAGTTTACTAGTATTTCTGTACTGGTTAGCCGGATAATACGGGATCCATGGGAATCTCATCCACATCTCTATCCAATTCAGCCCCGCTGCCATCCTTTTCCTCCAGGTCAGTGGCAATAGGACAAATCATTACAGCTTGTCCCCTTCTTAATTGAGGTGCAGGTCATGCTGACAGTGACACAGCTCGCAGTCCCAGTTAGATCATTAATTTCCACAAGCTTTTTGATTAATCTGTGCCATTAAATAGGGCTTTTAAGGGTTTTCATGGTATCAGAAGGAGCACTAATATACAGCCTGCTGGTTGAAAGGGCCCTGGCATGTTTGTCTGCCTGACAGCACCTGTGAAGAAAAATCAGAGTTAATGTTTCGGGTCTGGTGACCCTTCCTCAGAACCAGACCTGAAACATTAACTCTGCTTTTTCTTCACAGATGCTGCCAGACATGCTAAGCTTTTGCAGCAACTTCTGTTTTTGTTGAGGTCTGCTATCTGTTCTGCACCTAGGTGGGTGAACGAGAATTTGAAGTTTACTAGTATTTCTGTACTGGTTAGCTGGTGTGTTCTAAGGCCACTTCACAGGCTTGTGAGAGTCACACTCGGAACTCTGCCTACAACGGAGACTTCCTCCAACTGTTCTAAAACCTTTCCTTTGGATTTGCTTCAGACGCCATTGCCCTTGGTGCCTGTAAACTAATTCAAATGGCGCATAACCAGTGGGTAAGTCCCTGGTGGCGAACAGAAGAAAATCTAGTCTTTCCATCACTGGAGTGCTTGGGCAGCTAGCTGGGATGGCCAGTGTTGAGGGACTGGTGGAACCATTCAAGTGCCCCCTGTCACTGTACGTGATATGCTGAAGGTTCTATTGGATTATGCCCAGATTACCCATTGCTTCCTGAATACTTCGGACATGAAATTTACACCCTGATCTGACTGGATCTCGACAGCAGACCATATTGGGTGAAGAATTAGGTCAATTCCCTCACCACTGTTTGGCAGATATTGATCTCAGGAGAGCAGCCACTGGGAAACTGGTGCCAGGCCTAAAATAGTATGTACATGCTGAAAACCTCCTTTTGTTTTGGGAAGGGCCTAGCATAGTCTGCTATCACCTTGCTGAATGGTTCTCCCAAAGCCAGCAGGGGAATCATAAGTACAGGTCTTATTGCAGCTTGGAGTTTTCCACAATCTGCTGGTGTGATAGGTTCTGCAAAATCTCACTGCATCCCCATGGAGCTGTGACCAGTAAAAATATTGGCTGATGCAGGCTTGTGTTTTGTATGTATGAACTTGCCCAGCCACTTGGACCTTAGGAGTTTGCCACAATACTTTTTTTAAAATTCACTCATGGGGATGTGGGCATCTCTGGCCCAGAGGGCAGTTAAGAGTCAACCACATTGCTGGTCTGGAGTCATATGTAGACCAGACCAAGTAAGGACAGCAGTTTCCTTCCTTAAAGAACACTAGTGACCCAGTTGGGTTTTTCCATCAATCAACAATGGTTTCATGGTCATCATTAGACTTTTAATGCCAGATAGTTAATTGAATTCAAATTCCACCATCTGCCATGGCAGGGTTTGAACCCAGGTCCCCAGAACATTAGCTGAGTTTCTGGATTAATAGTCTAGTGATGATACCACTTGACCATTGCCTCCTTGCATATTCTTCATTGTACCTCAGTGGCACCATTACCTGTGGATCACTGTTCACTTCTCATTTCCAGGTCTGTGAGGGAATTTCTCTATTTCCTCATCAGCATCTCATTTCTGATATAGCAGCATTCATGGGACTGTTTCTGCCTCAGCTTCCGTGTCAGCTGTCTGAGCTAGTGTTTTTAACAGTGGGTCAGTTTGATGGGCTGCTACCAAGGAAGATCTATTTATTGCCTTCATAGTGTCTTCTAGACTTCCAATAAAGGTTTCAGATAACCAGACCAGAAGGTGACAGAACAGCCTGGCTGGGCTTGTGTGGCCATAGCCAAGTGAACACAGTTATAGAAAATGCCAGGCATTTTCTCCTGAAGCTGTTCAGTCTCCCTGATCTCAATGGGTTTCTTGGAGATGCGATTCCCTTTGATTCTGCCAGGTCATTGCTGAGAAGCAGGTCAACTTTATTCCACAGGGATATCGAGGACAACTCCCAAGGTCACTGATGCCAGCACAAAGTCACACTTCAGATGCATCCAGTAACAGGGAATGGGCATTTGCCCTCCTTCAATTCCATTCATTAGCACCTTAGCACTTACTGTACTCTCCCATGGGAAGTGCACTTTTCCCAAAAGTAGAGTTAGCTGGTCAACTGGACCACCTGAAGAGAATTATTTTATGGAGGATTTCATAAATGGCTTTTGTTTTAAGTGCCCATATCCACTGGTCATAAACGATCTGCCTAAACCTTTAAAATTCAAAGTCTGGGCTGGTTGTTTCCTGACGGTATGGAATTTATGATAGTACACCTCCAACACTAACTGGTTTACCCTCAATTTAGCTGTTTTTAACTGCTTCATAACCAGTGCCTTTCCCTCAGGCAAAAGAATAAATCTCGTTCGCTTTCCCTGAAAACTTACTCTGGAGTAGTAAGGACTGGCCACTTTAACTGCTGTGCTACCTACTCAAAAAACATATAGAAGGCTTCTAGCTCTGCTTCATCAAACCTAAGAATTAAATGAACAAACCAAGTTGCCTCTATTCTTAAGTGAAAGCTGGTGGTGTCTTCAAAAGACTCAATAGGATTCCTGACCCTCAACTTGAGATGTCGAAGTTCAAACTCTGATTCCTGCCATTTTTCTTGAAATTCTCTCTCTTCTCTTCATCTTTCCTCTCTTCCTCATTTTCCTCTTTCTTCCCTTTCCTCTACCCCTTTCTCTTGCCCTTTCCATTTCTTTTTATGGAATTTCTACTGTCTACTACTCTATTTTCAATGTCTCTATTGTTACTCTATATATTTCATTACCATCAATTTCCATCCGTAAATCCCTCCTGTTCAAAATTTTGGGCTTTCTGGCTTTTAGATGAAATTCTAATCTTAACAGCCTCTTAAAATTGTTTAACTGTTCAAGCCTCTTAAAATTGTTTAACTGTTCAAGCAACAGAACTTTAGAAGTAACTTCCCTTAATTCTCCTACATATCTGCTGGCATTAAATACAAACATTTCGACACTGGAGCAGTGCAAACTGCAAAGAAACCTTTTACTTTTGGTTTCAAAAGGAAAATTTACTCAGTCTTAATTCTTTTGTTTTGTCTGTGGGTTCAAATCATGGATACATTCTGGAATTTGTTCTGATCGACATTCGCCAAATTATAAACCTCAAATTGTTGAGTTCCTGGGTGAGGAGGGAGGAACTGGCTTTCCTTGCTTGGTCACAGCAAGGTTGCTTTCAAAAGGATCCCTGCCCTTATGTAAGCCTTTCTCCCAGACCAAAATTAATTCATCTTTTAAAACGAGCCAATTTAACCAGGCTTTCATGAGTTCACAAGAGTGTGAGTTTATTAAGTACCAAATGGAAGAAGAAATAATAACACAGATTAGAAATTAAATGAGTCCTAAAAAAGATACATTTTAAAAAAATAAATGGACCAGTGTCCGAGATCCATGAAGATTAGATGATAGAATATTGGGCCCATTACATTAATTGATATTGGTAGCATGGATCTTGATGGGTGAGAGATTGACTTTGAGATGTTTGGCTTTGCAGGTCAGCTGAAATTCTTTTGCCCTGTTTTTTTTCGATGGTGGCTGTCTGGCAGCACTCATAGCGAGAAAGCATATTTTACTTTTCACTTACAGTACAGAGATATTCAATGGCTGTTCTAAAAGCTGTGACTTTTTCGACAAACGAATCCACTAATATATGCAGGTTAGGGTTGAAACTGGCTTTTAACCCCTGTTCTTGTATATTTAAAGGGGAAAACACAAGCTTGTCTCTTGCCCACACTGCTTTCTTTTTTCTCATCATATTCACAGTCTGAGATAACTCACAGATTACATTTCAGTTAGCAGACCATTTTGCCCTTTTCAGAGTCCTTTTTAAAACTTCCTTGACACCTGTCATGTATGACATTACACAGTCCCCCTCCAGACAACCACTGAATTTAATTCCACATTCATTGTTTGGCTATGTATCTTTTTGTGAAATAAATGTAGTAAAAAACAGTTCAAAATAAAAGTAGCGATCTGGGGTTATCCTTCCTTAGGTTAAAAGGGGCACAATCTGTTCACATCAGGAAGTGCGTGGTTGGATTTTCAGTTGCTGGCATGTATTGAAAATCATGTTTCCAGAAGCTGTCACTAGATCCCAATTCCTCCTGAACGTGATGCAATTCTGAAGGGAGATGGGAAAGACTGGAGAGATCTTGGGGCAGACAGGTGAGAAACCAGCATGTCTCAAATTAATTGGTTGTTGAGGCCATGTACAGGTCTCAGAAGAGCCGTTTCACATTTTTACTCAATTTGGGGAACCTGCAGTGTCTTGGACCTGTCAAGAGTGCAGCAATTGTAATTACAGTGGGAGTCAAGTGCATGAATGGTCTACACATTGAAGAAGTGGAGAATAATGACTGACTGTTCAACCTGAGGCACAGAATTGCTGTTCTGAAGTTGAGTGGTTTGTATTTGAACACTGAGCTCATAGAACTCCTGAGAGGGTGGTGAGGCTGTTGGCATCAAATGGACAGCAGTTGTAATCGTGGCAAATGAATGGGCGCCAGCTGAGGGGGCTAGATTCTAGCAGATTGTTCTGACATTGGAAGGTTAGTGAGGAGGAGCTTCAGCACACACATCCTCCTGGTCAGGCAGGGGTTGGATGACCACAATGAAGGCTTGAAAGGGGAAGAAGGTCTCACTCCAGGCATTGTGCACACTGCCCAGGAACAGTTATATGCGAATAACAAAGCACCAGGCCATAGGAGGCTGCTTCTAAGTAGTTAGTCCAGGTCGTATATATTCTAGACCACAATTAACTGAAACCTTGCAGTCCCTACGGCAGTCCCCAACCCTAAACCATCAAAGTCAATGCAACAACAAAATTTTAAGCATTTAGATCTCTCCAGAAAAGAGCTCTGCACTTGGATGGGATCTCGCAACTGGCAGCTCCTCACGTTAACTGACTAGTCATTAATGTTGCACTGCAATGGGTAGGGTACCCCATCTGTTTGAAACAAAGGGCCAGGGCAGACAGAAAAGGCATCGGATTTTCCACTACTTAAGGACTTCCTCCAGTCATTGAATGTCCCCAGTGAGCCATGAAGGCACGGACTAGCCAACCAGATCCATGAAAAGAAAAGACCTCCACTCACTGAATATCCAGCTGCTCTGTACCAACTTGCTCGGTTGAAAGGTAGCTGTCATGACTCAGTCATCCTGCGAGAGTCGCACATCTTCAGGTGAACACCAAGAGGTTCTGGATGTTTTCTGGCAGCTCTGTTTATCATCATTGGAGGAGGCTCCTGGCGCCCATCCATAACCAGGCATGTAGAAAGATAACAGAGTCACAGAGCCAGCTCTTAACATTTACCTGCATTGAACAGGCCATTGGCATCTTAAAGAAGCACTCCTGTTGCCTTGACTGCTCAGGTGGGGCCTTCCGTGAAAACGAGCCAGAGTGCCTTGTATTGTAGTCATTTGTTGTGTGCTCTGCAACCTGTTTTACAAAGAAGCTGGAGTTGGATAAAGAGAAGGATCTGGAACATTAGTCTTCCTTGGAGGAGGATAGAGAGGAGGATAGATAGGAGGAACAAGAGGATCAAGCAGGTACTTCACAGGTGCTGAGAGAATATAACCAGCTAAGGAATTTAGCTGTGAAATTCACTACTTCAGAGTGTGGTGAATGTCAGAAAATTGAGTAAATTTAAAGAGGAAATACAGATTTTTGATTAGTGACGGGTTGAAAGGTTATACAGCACAGGCAAGAAAATGGAATTGAGACGCAGATGTAATCAGCCATAATTGTACCGAATAACAGAGAAGGCCTAGGGAGTAGAATTGCCTACTTCTTATGTTCTTATATCAGTGGTGCCTGATGCCCAGGCTTTGGACAAAGATTGATAAGGCCATCATAGGTTCATAGCAATCACCAAGCTGACATGGCTGCAAGAGCCACACTAATTCAGCAATGGTTCACTAGAGTGTCCCTCAGCTCGTATTACAGAGGATAATGTTACTCAGTCCCCAACAAAGAAAGAAGTCAGCTGGCAAGCACACTGATTTGAAGAACTTTTTTTTCTCCAAGATGGGATTTCCACCACCAACAGTGTCCTGCGTCACAGGCCACAAACTGCATACACCCTGACCATTCCATTTTCAAGCAATAATAATACACAAGTCTGATTGAGAACACAAACAATTATCGTTACAGAAAAAAAATGAACAAACTGAAAAAACACTATCCAAGTAACCCACAAAGTGCAACAAACCTTAGGCACACACCCACTTGTACATGATGTTAGATACATTTGTACTTACCCATATTATATACCAACTGCAAAGCTCCTGGTCATTCAATCCGAGTCCCTTTGAGGCCTCTTTGTGTCCTTCTAATAACTTACCGGAAGCAGCCACAGGCATTTGTGTCAACTTACGTAGTTAACTTTCTTAACTGCTGATTTGATCTCACTGAATTCAGTAATGACTCATTTTCAAATTACATTTGTTAATTTCAACAGAGATTTTGTCCATATTGACAGGGTTCCAGCTGAACACAGCCACTGGATATCAGAATAATAGTACTTTATAAGAGTGGAATTAAGCCTGGAGCTTAAGATCAGAGGGAGCAGGTTGCTATAGTCATCTTGTGATTAATAAAAGTGATGATAAACCAATGTGATGAATCAGTACGTACTGATGCAAAACCTTTCAAAGGTTAAAACTGACTAACTCAATGGGAATGAAGGGACAAATCAGAAGAAAACAAAGTTTTCCCAGTGCCTTATTTCAAACAAAAATGAGTCAAATGAGTAAGTGAAAAAAACTCCTTGCTTAAAGTGACTCACTGCACTGACACTTGTAACATCATCACAGTCTCTGCCATTATGCGTTGGGAAAGTGAAAGGCGAGCTAAGTGCAATACTCCAACTCCCAGACTGCACTCGTGCAACCTGCCAGACGCATGCGCGTGCAGCCTCGCCGCCCCCTCCTCTGATGTCATGACGTCGGCGTTCGATCCCTCTCACGCAAACGGAGACGGGCGTCCGCCTGGTCCAATCGAAGTGGTACATTCGGCGGCGCGAGGGGCAGGGGGTGGGAGAAGGTGGGACTTCCGGCACAACGTTCCAAATCGACGCGGTAGGTAATCGGCAGCCGTTGGTGGCAGCAAAAGAGGAGGGGGGAGGGGACAGGAGTGTGAGGAAGGGAAGGCAATGTCTGTCAGTGCTGCTGTTTATATCCGTTTTATAGTTTAATCGCTTGTTATTTTAAACCCGTTTCATTATATGCTTTGATAAACAAACCTTGTTCGGCTGGGGAGTTTTATTTTTAATTTTCCGCCATGTGTTCCTGAGGGGAGAGTCAGTCGGTGGCGTCGCCTGCCGTCCTGGCCGTTTCCAGGAGGAGCTCCCAACAGCCGACGCCGTGCGCGTACCCGGCGCGTGCACGGCACCGCGCACGCACGGGTCGCGCGCCGGGGGCGCAAAAACAAAACAATTGAAGGGGAAAAAAAGAAGAGGAGGAGGTCCCGGAGAGAATCGAAGCTCGGGACAGAGAGAGGAGCCAGGTCATGCGGCCTGCCTCAGGCACCCTGCCTGCGCCCCACTACCACGGCTACTGTTGACGGGCAGCCCTCCAGCCAGGCCGGGCCTCCCCTCTTCCCCCCTTTCAAAGCAGAAGAGGAGAGGGAGGGGGGGAAGAAGGAAGAGGATCAAGAATCAGCAACAGGAGGAGGAAGCAGCAGCAGCAGCAGCGACATGCTGGGGCCGGTTTGGGACTGTCCGGGCCTTCTCACATCTTCACTGAGCGGCTGCCAGCATTGAGCCTGATCCCCTGGGCTCTGCCGTCCAGGTAAGCCTCTATCCGCCTTATCGCAAGCGTAACGTTGTCCCTCTGTTCTCTATTCTTCCTTCTTCCCCCCTCCCCACCCCGAGCCCTTGGAAGTGAGAGGGAGAGAGACATTTAAAATATACCCCCACTCTTATCATAGGGGCTCGTCTTTGCTCATGTTGGGGGCGGGGAGAGCGACAACATTGTTCGAAGTGCTACATTGACGAGTGCTGATTCTTAACTCTTCTTCCTCCTCCAAATCTTCATCCATTTATGAGAATTGCTGTGATCAGATCGGAAAGTGATCAATCTGTCATTGGTAACAAAGACATTTCAGTGAATAGAGAGGTGCTATTTAATATCGATGACACCACCACCCCCCCCCCCCCCCGACAACCAACACACTTTTCAAGTGAGGAAATAGATGACTAGTTTAACAGCATTTTAATGTCCCTTGCTGAGACATGCCTATTCTGTAAAATTTGTAAATGTCTACCTTTGTTCAAGAATTTCGTTTAACCCCTGTTCCTGTTGACCATTTAATGTTGTTTTGCATCTATGAATTATTGATTTCATTTTACACTGGTTGATATAGATTTTTAGAGACAGTGTAAACTATTGATTTTGTGGACAATGGAGCAGTTAATCTTGAATTTGAAAACCTTCATTTTTTTTTCTTTTTATATGCAGGTTTGTAAGTTTGTTTGCCAGAATCATTCAAACCACAAACATATGTGTTTATACCTTTTTAACATTTGTGTAGCTAATGTGCGCTACTGATAAAGGTGTTGTTAATCCAATGTGTTTTTGGTATTGTATGATAAATGTTTTTCCTGCTCTTAGAGTGAAGTCAGGGTGTAATTAACTATCTGTTCATCCAGCTGTTTAAATATTAATGTTTGATGCTTATTTTTAAGCTTCAGTGCAGCACTTTGAGTACTTGGGTCAAAAATGTGACTATGATTTGAATTCAAATTCTAAACCGTAAGCTTGGAGGACCTGCTTCTGGAAAATGTTGGCATGATAATGCTGTCCCACTTGTCGATCCATCTTGGAAGTAGTATTTACTGAATATTGTTGGGATATGGTCAACAGGAAGAGGTGATTACTGTGTAATATTGTTGCTGGACTATTAATCCAGAGACCCAGGTAATATTCTGGGACCTGGATTCAAATCTCGCCATGACAGGTAGTGGAATTTGAATTCAGTGACCATGACACCATTGTCAATGTTTGCTAGAACCAATCTAGTTTACTAATATCCTTTTAAGGAAGGAAATCTGCCACCCTTACCTGGTCTGGTCTACATGTGATTCCAGACCCACAACAATTTGGTGGACTCTTAATTAGATATGTTTATTGTGGTGTAATGTTTGCTTCCCCACCTTATTTCTTTCCTAGGTTGTTTACATTGTTTTATGCAATCAATATCAAAAACAGGTTATGGGATAAGATATGCAGCAGGCAGCGATGTACTTTGTCAGTTGCTATAAGATTGCTACCCTTGGACTTGAGCAGGGAAAGATAATTATGCAACGAGAATGCAGTTCTTTTCCATCACACCGTGGAATGATGCTTTTTGTTTGTGTGTTCTTTGGTGTCTGAGGTATTGGTCCAATACAACCCTGTTCTTTGTTTCATAAGAGAAATCATGAATGTGGTTAAAAATATTGGATTTGTACAAACGTTTTCTGTTAGAAACATAGGCCATTCATCCCCTCAAGCCTGTTGTGCCATTCAATGAGATCATTGCTGATCTATAGCCTAACTCCAAATACTTGCTTTGCAGTTGTAGGTATAATAAAGGATTGTTGTAGGTGGAGCCTGTATTTTTATCAAATATATGTTGACTTGGAGTTTGTGCATAAACTGTTTACTGCAATAACAACTTTGTCAATCTGAGAATATTTTTGTAACAAAATTTCCCTTTATATCTACTGCATCTGGAAAAATATCTTTATCAAACCTGTTTTCTATAGGCTCTTGAGTGGTGGTAGGTGTATGGATCATAGAATCCCCACAGTGTGGAAACAGGCCCTTCGGCCCAACAAGTCCACACCGACCCTCGGAGCATCCCACCCAGACACAATCCCCTATAACCCACCCAATCTACACATCCCTGAACACTATGGGCAATTTAGCATGGCCAATCCACCTAGCCTGCACATCTTTGGACTGTGGGAGGAAACCGGAGTACCCGGAGGAAATCCACACAGACACGGGGAGAATGTGTAAACTCTCAGATACAGTCGCCTGAGGGTAGAATTGAACCCGGGTCCCTGGCGCTGTGAGGCAACAGTGCTAACCACTGTGCCACCATGCCACCCAACATATCGCTCACACAACATCTAGGTATGTTTGGTACAGTTGAGAGATCAGCAGTGATGTCTGTTGAGTTCATTAGGCCTAATGTGACTTTTACGGAAATTGAGGTAAAACAAACTAAGTGAATAGTCTTGTTGAAATATGGTTCTATTGTAGGCTTATGGTTGTCATGATGGACCTCCTGCGTGTTGAGTGATTGTTGAATCTGAAAATGAACTGTACGTTGTCTGGTATATTAATTTCCTTGAATCCAGTAATATGTGAGATTGTCCACTGCCCCCAAAACAAATTCCTTATACTCATTGACACTCGCACTTGCATTTATTCCAATATTCAAACAGTAATATTTGTCCATGTACAGGTGCTTGATTCATGTCATGTTTGTGATTTTGCAGAACTTGATCAAAGCCATAGGATATTATGTACTGGATAACAATGTAAATTATGTGATATTTTAGTGGAGGCATTGATAATATATAGAATGGGCCTGTCTCTTAGATGGTCTAATTTTTAAAAAATTGTTTACAGGATGAGGGCATTGCTGGCCAAACCAGCATTTATTGCCAATGAGGCAGTTCTGAGGAAGGGTCACTGGACCCTAAACGTTAACTCTGTTGTTTTTACTTCACAGATGCTGCCAGACCTGCTGAGCTTTTCCAGTTACTTCTGGTTTTGTTCCAGCATTTATTACCCATTGGGCAGTTGATATTCAACCACATTGCCGCAAGTTTAGAGTCATGTGTAGGCCAGACCAGGTGAAGCAGCTTCCTTCCGTAAAAGTATTATTGAATCAGATGGGGTTTTTTCCGACAATCAGCAGTAGTTTCATGGTCATCATTAGACTCTTAATTCCAGATCTTTCTTTTTAATTCAAGTCTAACAATAGTATAAGGTATGGTTTGATGTGACGTTAGGTTACAGTTACATAGAAGTTTTGGAAGTTTTTCAATGGAAATTTCAAATGCAAAGCAGAGTGTAGAACTACCCAGATAATGTGGTGGTCTTTGCTTGGATAATGGGAGAGGCGCTACAATTGATATGAGCACATTTAGATTAAAGCAAAGTAAATAGGGCAGGTTTTCCACTCCAGATACTATAGAAATGCAAGAATATATGAACATGGACAGGAGAGGTTTGGTTTAGCTGTTTCACTCTTGCTCTTGAATGGCCTGCAACTATGATATTGTGATTGCCAATTGAAGAATATTTACTTGTATACACCAATGATAAGGGAGAAAATGGCCAAAAGCAAAAGTATAGCAAAAATATCCACTAGAGTGTATCTTGAATACAGCCTCAGACAACATTACAAAGCAGAAGTAATTAGCTTGTGCAGTCTGGTATGAATTATTGTATATTCGCAAAATTAAAGTTAATACCAAGAACTACACCTAGTAAGGTGAGCAAATTGATCCATCTGTTCTGATGCTGCACTATTTCTGTTGTTTCAAAATGTACTTTTAAAAAATGTTTATGATGCAGCAGGAGCAGCGATGCCAGAGGAGAAATGTGATTACACTGTCTGATTGCTCTGCTACGTTGCTCAGAATCCTCCAACTGGGTCAGCTTTTATCAGTTGAGCTCAGCTGATGCGAAAGTTTGATCTTTCAATTAGCGAAAGCTAAAAGGTGGCTTTCTGTTTTATCTTTGCTGATCAGCGTGGACAGATGCAAAATGTAATCTTTGTAGGGAGGCAGTAAGGTAATGCCAACACCTTTTGTTCAGTGCAGTTTGGACAATAAAAACAGCAGTAAAGTCGCTGTGAGACTTCATCATGGTTTTATGCCTGTTGCTACAAAAGTAATGTTGCCTTTAGTCAGGACAGTTTTGTTTTTACTTGAAATCTGTCTGAATAGTTTCATTTGGAGAGTTGAAATTAAAATAGAATTTAACACTGATTGGGTTAGCAACTTGGCTGGTGGAATGTGATTGTGAAAATTTAACCAGACTTTTGGCTTGCTCTGGTAGCAATAGCTTTTGATCGCTGACTATTTTTTAACTCCAGGTCAGAATCCCTTAGGGTTTCAGAGCCATATGTAACCTTAAACTGTGTTATTTCAACTGTAAGTGGCATCTTACCCTTGAACAAAGTACTGTAGAATGGAACAGAACTACACCTGCAGATCCAAGCCATAAAATAATTGTTCAGCTGAATTTGTAAGAGAGAAATAGTTCATTTACATGTCAGGTAAGTTTACAATCCAATTCACTGAACCAGTGGGTTGAAATTATCACAGTTCTTAAGGGTAAACA